GACATAACACAAACCACTTCTGTAACCGCTTCCTGACCACCCTATAGCAGAAATACTGCTACAGGGCGGCATGGGTGTGCATAGTCACATATATATATATATATATATATATATATATATATATATATATATATATATATATATATACATGATTTGCGCTCCCGTGGTTTTCACGCCCCTCCTACATAGCGTCAGATTGCCCCTCAGTACACACCAGTCATAATAAAATTTAACCCCTTGACTGCCAGGAACATGCTCATACACAATAAACCTGCTAGTATAGTGTCTGAACGGATCAATATCTTTGATCAGATCAGCACTATACCAATGTTCACATTAGTATTGCGTCCCCAAAAATGCAGCGTTAGCGGGATCAGCCCCGACACCTGCCAGCACCTGTGTTTAGCCCCTACGCTTACCCCCCCTTCTCCCCCAGCAAGTGCAGTGTCAGTAGGTCACTGTCACTTGATACATTGCACACAAAACCGCAGTGTTCACAGAATCAGGCCTGATCGGTCACTTGTCGGTAAATTTTTATGACTCTCATATGCAGCAGAGTACCAGTACTAGTGCCACGCTACCTGTTGGTGAACTGGCAAGCACCAGCAGTCTACTACAACTTGTTCTTTCACATATCTCTTAGATTGTAAGTAGAGATGAGCGAATCGAACTTGGCGAAGTGAAATTCGTTTCGAATATTAGGAAAAATTTGATTCGCGCCGAATCCGAAAATTAGCATACTTCGGATGCGCGAATCGAAATTTTTCCAAAAATGGCGGCGACATGTGTGGCGACGGAGCGGGGATCTCTGGGAAGGCGCGCAGACAAGGCGCGCTGACCCATAATGCATTCATTCATGACATGTGATCGCATTAGCCAATCAGCAGCCAGCCAGCCAGCACTGTGTAATGGTGGAGCTATAAATTGCGGCCATCTTACAATTCTCCATTTGCCTCCGGTCATTCAAGAGAGACAGACCTCTCTGTATTAGGGACAGAGTTAGGGCCACAGATACTTTAGGGACACAGAATCGTTACTTAGGGACACAGAATTGTTACTCAGGGACACAGGACTGTTACTCAGGGACACAGAACTGTTACTCAGGGACAGGCACAGAATTGTTACTGAGGGACACAGAATTGTTACTGAGGGACACAGAATATCAATTCTGTGGGACTCAGTAACAATTCTGTGACACTCAGGGACACAGAACTGTTACTCAGGGACACAGAACTGTTACTCAGGGACACAGAACTGTTACTCAGGGACAGACACAGAATTGTTACTGAGGGACACAGAATTGTTACTGAGGGACATAGAATTGTTACTCAGGGACACAGAATTGTTACTCAGGGACACAGAACTGTTACTCAGGGACACAGAATTGTTACTGAGGGACAGACACAGAATTGTTACTGAGGGACACAGAATTGTTACTGAGGGACACAGAATTGTTACTCAGGGACAGACACAGAATTGTTACTGAGGGACACAGAATTGTTACTGAGGGACACAGAATTGTTACTCAGGGACACAGAATTGTTACTCAGAAGGGACACAGAATTGTTACTCAGGGACACAGAACTGCTACTCAGGGACACAGAATTGTTACTCAGGGACACAGAACTGTTACTGAGGGACACAGAATTGTTACTCAGGGACAGACACAGAATTGTTACTGAGGGACACAGAATTGTTACTCAGGGACAGACAGAATTGTTACTGAGGGACACAGAATTGTTACTGAGGGACACAGAATTGTTACTGACTGTTACTCAGGGAAACAGAATTGTTACTCAGGGACAGACACAGAATTGTTACTGAGGGACACAGAATTGTTACTGAGGGACACAGAATTGTTACTCAGGGACACAGAATTGTTACTGAGGGACACAGAATTGTTACTCAGGGACACAGAATTGTTACTCAGGGACACAGAACTGTTACTCAGGGACACAGAATTGTTACTCAGGGACACAGAACTGTTACTCAGGGACACAGAATTGTTACTCAGGGACAGACACAGAATTGTTACTGAGGGACACAGAATTGTTACTGAGGGACACAGAATTGTTACTCAGGGACACAGAATTGTTACTCAGGGACACAGAACTGTTACTCAGGGACGCAGAATTGTTACTCAGGGACACAGAACTGTTACTCAGGGACACAGAATTGTTACTCAGGGACAGACACAGAATTGTTACTGTTACTGAGGGACACAGAATTGTTACTGAGGGACACAGAATTGTTACTCAGGGACACAGAATTGTTACTCAGGGACACAGAACTGTTACTCAGGGACACAGAATTGTTACTCAGGGACACAGAACTGTTACTCAGGGACACAGAATTGTTACTCAGGGACACAGAACTGTTACTCAGGGACACAGAATTGTTACTCAGGGACACAGAACTGTTACTCAGGGACACAGAATTGTTACTCAGGGACAGACACAGAATTGTTACTGAGGGACACAGAATTGTTACTGAGGGACACATAATTGTTACTCAGGGACAGACACAGAATTGTTACTGAGGGACACAGAATTGTTACTGAGGGACACAGAATTGTTACTGAGGGACACAGAATTGTTACTCAGGGACACACAGAATTGTTACTGAGGGACACAGAATTGTTACTGAGGGACACTGAGGGACACAGAATTGTTACTCAGGGACACAGAATTGTTACTCAGGGACACAGAATTGTTACTCAGGGACACAGACACTGTTACTCAGGGACACAGAATTGTTACTCAGGGACACAGAACTGTTACTCAGGGACACAGAATTGTTACTCAGGGACAGACACAGAATTGTTACTGAGGGACACAGAATTGTTACTGAGGGACACAGAATTGTTACTCAGGGACAGACACAGAATTGTTACTGGAGGGACACAGAATTGTTACTGAGGGACACAGAATTGTTACTGAGGGACACAGAATTGTTACTCAGGGACACAGAATTGTTACTCAGGGACAGACACAGAATTGTTACTGAGGGACACAGAATTGTTACTGAGGGACACAGAACTGTTACTCAGGGACACAGAATCGTTACTCAGGGACACAGAATTGTTGAATTAAAGAGTATGTCAGACAACACGCAGAGGAGTGTCAGAGGAGGCCATGTTTTAGGAGCGAGCAGACGTGGCATCAGAGGAAGGGGTCGAGGCAGCACTAGTCGCAGCCAGAGGCCAGTGCTCCCGGTGTCATCCAGCGGTCGTGTCTCCACCGACAACCCTGCCGTCATCGATTGGTTGGCTCGGTCGTCTTCCTCTTCCCAGGTCACCTCTGACACCTACAGCCAACGGTCGGTGGGTACGTCAGACACAACCGTTAGTTGGCATGGCCCGGGAGCAAGCCCACTGAAATCACGTGTCCTCGACCTGCCCCTGTCCTTTGGTGTTCCCTCACCAAGCGAAGTATCGCATGCTGTGGGCTCAGCCCCACTGTACAGTGAGGAAGAGCTAACAGAGGGCGGTCAGGAACGGGGGGAGACATCCGCCTCTTCAGCAGCCAGGCGAAGAAGTACTGGCGAGGAGAGTGGCTCGGTAGCCGGTCTAGAGACAGGTCTGTCTCCTGACCCACACGCAGCCGAGGGGGCTAGTAGTGAGGCGGAGACCCTAATTGATGATGATGAGGCTGATCGCACTTGGCAGCCTCGTCGTCATCAGGCTATTGCTTCCGCATCATCAGGAGAAGAGGGTGCCAGCTTGGCAGCGAGCAAAACAGTCGGTGGGTTGCCCAGGAGGCAGCAGGGTCACAGCAGTGTCAGTGGAGGCAAACGGCCACGGAGTAGAGCACCAGCTCTACTGCAGCCTACCACCACGGCCAGTAGTGGTGCCGGTGTGCATGGAGGAAGTAGCAGTCAGCCAGTGAGGAGTAGCGGGGGCAAAGTTTCCTACTCGGCGGTGTGGCAATTTTTCGTCAAGCCGCCCGAGGAAGTAAACGTAGCCGTATGTTGACTATGTGGCCAGAAAGTCAAGCGTGGTCAGGGGGCCCATGTCTCCATCGCCACACTCTGCCATGTGCCACTTTCAGGTCTCCTCACACTGCTGGTGGGTTCCATTTTGTCATAGGGTGCTGGCAGATTACGGGCCTCCCATTGCTGCTGCCAGACCCGTAATCTGTCATGGGCCCCTGTACCGCCTCCTCATGCTGCTGCCAGGTCCAGAGTCTCTCATGGGTCCCTGTATGGCCTCCCATTGCTGCTGTCTCCATCGCCACACTCTGCCATGTGCCACTTTCAGGTCTCCTCACACTGCTGGTGTGTTCCATTTTGTCATAGGGTGCTGGCAGATTACGGGCCTCCCATTGCTGCTGCCAGACCCGTAATCTGTCATGGGCCCCTGTACCGCCTCCTCATGCTGCTGCCAGGTCCAGAGTCTCTCATGGGTCCCTGTACGGCCTCCCATTGCTGCTGTCTCCATCGCCACACTCTTCCATGTGCCACTTTCAGGTCTCCTCACACTGCTGGTGGGTTCCATTTTGTCATAGGGTGCTGGCAGATTACGGGCCTCCCATTGCTGCTGCCAGACCCGTAATCTGTCATTGGCCCCTGTACCGCCTCCTCATGCTGCTGCCAGGTCCAGAGTCTCTCATGGGTCCCTGTACGGCCTCCCATTGCTGCTGTCTCCATCGCCACACTCTGCCATGTGCCACTTTCAGGTCTCCTCACACTGCTGGTGGGTTCCATTTTGTCATAGGGTGCTGGCAGATTACGGGCCTCCCATTGCTGCTGCCAGACCCGTAATCTGTCATGGGCCCCTGTACCGCCTCCTCATGCTGCTGCCAGGTCCAGAGTGTCTCATGGGTCCCTGTACGGCCTCCCATTGCTGCTGTCTCCATCGCCACACTCTGCCATGTGCCACGTTCAGGTCTCCTCACACTGCTGGTGGGTTCCATTTTGTCATAGGGTGCTGGCAGATTACGGGCCTCCCATTGCTGCTGCTGCCAGACCCGTAATCTGCCATGGGCCCCTGTACCGCCTCCTCATGCTGCTGCCAGGTCCAGAGTCTCTCATGGGTCCCTGTACGGCCTCCCATTGCTGCTGTCTCCATCGCCACACTCTGCCATGTGCCACTTTCAGGTCTCCTCACACTGCTGGTGGGTTCCATTTTGTCATAGGGTGCTGGCAGATTACGGGCCTCCCATTGCTGCTGCCAGGCCCGTAATCTGCCATGGGCCCCCGTACCGACTCCTCATGCTGTGACGTTGCAACAAGGTGGAATTCAACCCTACATATGTTAACCGCCTTTACGAACAGCGAAAGGCCATCACCGATTTCCTGATGTTACAAGCGGATAAAGGTACTCCCCTGTGTAACTTAGATGTCAGCCATTGGCAGCTCATGCGTGACACCTGCCGCTTGCTCAGGCCCTTTGAGGAGGCCACGCTATTCGTGAGTCGGCAGGACTATGGGATGAACGACGTCATTCCTCTGTTGCACGTCCTGGAACAAATGCTGTTAACAATGGCTGGTCAGGGTGCCTTAGACGTGGCGCACAGATCTCAATGCCACATGACTCCTGTGGGGGCAGGACAGGAAGAAGAGGAGGAGGTAGAGGAGAACATTGGTGCTCAGGAATTATTTAGTGAAATGGGTGGTTTTTCCACTCAGCGGACAGGAGTGGAGGAGCAGGAGCATCTGGTAGAGGAGGAGGAGGAGGAGACAGAGGACCCAAACGCACCGTGGCAGTATGCTGTGGAGATGGAGGCAGGGAGTCCCTCGCATTCCTTGGCACAAATGGCCCATAGCATGCTCGGTTGCTTGCGTAGCGACAGCCGAATAATAACCATCAGACAGAGGGATGACTTTTGGCTGTCCACCTTGTTGGACCCTCGCTACCGTTCAAAAATGGTGGCCTTTTTCACACCTGCTGAGAGGGAGGCCAAAATAACGTACTATAAAAACCACCTATGTAGTCAGTTGGTCTCTGCCTTTCTGCGCCAACGTCCATCCTCAGACTCTGTGGGCCCTGTGCGCTCGCGTTCCGCTGCCATGGCAGCAGGGGAGGGGTGGGGTGGTAGGAGCAGTGGCAGCTCCACCAGCAGCGGCTGCCTCAGTCTGCAGTCGATGATGAGTAGCTTTCTTCACCAGCGCAGTGAGGAAACTACTAACCAGCCGCAGCAGCAGCAGCAGCAGCAGCATCAGATGGACCTGGAGCAGGACCTCAAACAACAGGTTTGGGCCTACTTGGAAAGCACCCTGCCAACCGAGGTAGACAATCCCCTTGACTACTGGGCAACGAAACTTGACCTTTGGCCCCAACTAGCTGAATTTGCCCTTGAAAGGCTGTCATGCCCAGCCAGTAGCGTGGCATCGGAGCGCGTGTTTAGTGCGGCAGGAGGTATTGTAACTCCGCGGAGGACACGACTGTCCACCCAAAGTGTGGAGAGACTCACGTTTGTGAAAATGAATCAGGCGTGGATTAGTCTGGATTTCAAACCACCAGTTCCTGACACAACTGACTAAATCCGCCATGAATCATGCCCCAAACATGTTAACTCTGCCATGTGCCACTTTCAAGTCTCCTCCCACTGCTGGTGGGTTCCATTTTGTCATAGGGTGCTGGAAGATTATGGGCCTCCCATTGCTGCTGCCAGGCCCGTAATCTGCCATGGGCCCCCGTATCACCTCCTCATGCTGCTGCCAGGTCCAGAGTCTCTCATGGGTCCCTGTACGGCCTCCCATTGCTGCTGTCTCCATCGCCACACTCTGCCATGTGCCACTTTCAGGTCTCCTCACACTGCTGATGGGTTCCATTTTGTCATAGGGTGCTGGCAGATTACGGGCCTCCCATTGCTGCTGCCAGGCCCGTAATCTGCCATGGGCCCCCGTACCGCCTCCTCATGCTGCTGCCAGGTCCAGAGTCTCTCATGGGTCCCTGTACGGCCTCCCATTGCTGCTGTCTCCATCGCCACACTCTTCCATGTGCCACTTTCAGGTCTCCTCACACTGCTGGTGGGTCCATTTTGTCATAGGGTGCTGGCAGATTACGGGCCTCCCATTGCTGCTGCCAGGCCCGTAATGTGTCATGGGCCCCTGTACCGCCTCCTCATGCTGCTGCCAGGTCCAGAGTCTCTCATGGGTCCCTGTACGGCCTCCCATTGCTGCTGTCTCCATCGCCACACTCTGCCATGTGCCACTTTCAGGTCTCCTCACACTGCTGGTGGGTTCCATTTTGTCATAGGGTGCTGGCAGATTACGGGCCTCCCATGATGCTGCTGCCAGACCCGTAATCTGTCATGGGCCCCTGTTCCGCCTTCTCATGCTGCTGCCAGGTCCAGAGTCTCTCATGGGTCCCTGTACGGCCTCCCATTGCTGCTGTCTCCATCGCCACACTCTGCCATGTGCCACTTTCAGGTCTCCTCACACTGCTGGTGGGTTCCATTTTGTCATAGGGTGCTGGCAGATTACGGGCCTCCCATTGCTGCTGCCAGGCCCGTAATCTGCCATGGGCCCCTGTACCGCCTCCTCATGCTGCTGCCAGGTCCAGAGTGTCTCATGGGTCCCTGTACGGCCTCCCATTGCTGCTGTCTCTATCGCCACACTCTGCCATGTGCCACTTTCAGGTCTCCTCACACTGCTGGTGGGTTCCATTTTGTCATAGGGTGCTGTATGGCCTCCCATTGCTGCTGCCTCCACCTCCACACTGTGGCTCCACACTCTGGTTTTGGCCCCGTGACTGCCCAAATGAGTGAAGTGTGCGGTGATTCTAAGATCGACGGCACTCATCTGCATGTCATACTGACTGACAGTATTATTTCTCTTCCCCAGCAGACTCCAAGGGCATTTAAATTAAGGGTACAGTGTTCTGCACTAATATAAAGACTCTCTGAAGCCTAGAAACACCCTTTTTATAAGTTAAATTCGCAGCGAATATATTCGCATCGAATCAAATTTATTCCTCGAATTCGCCGAATCAGCCGAATCGAATTTTTGAATACTTCGCTCATCTCTAATTGTAAGCTCCCAGGATCAGGGCCCTCCTAACCCTCTTGTATTGAACTGTATTGTTACTGTATTGTCTCCCGTTATACTGTAAAGTGCTGAGCAAACTGTTGGCGCTATATAAATCCTGTATAATAATAATAATAATAATAATAATACCAGCACTGCAGTATAACTTGGTGACGTTGTGAATCCCATAAGTCCAGTATAAGCCGGTGCGGTGGCGAGCACAAGTATTGTCCCGCAGCCACCAAGAATTCGCACACAGGCCCATCGAGCTCTTAGTATCCTTCTGGATGTGCTTGCAAATCCCGATTGACAGCCCACAAATTCTGCAGCACCCGTACTTCCCCCATTCACTGCCCAACCCAGAATTCAGGTGGAAATAGCAAATTTAACTACTCCCCTTGATTTGTGGAGTTTTTTTTTCACAGAGTATCTGTATGCGTTGATTGTGGATCAAAGCAATTTATATGCACAACAATTTATCACCGCCAACCCAAATTCAAACCTGCAAATCGGTCGCATGGAAACTCATTACAGTTTCCAAATTTACATTTTTTTGGGCCTAACCCTTAACATGGCATTACTAAAAGAAATGAATTGCAGTTGTATTGGTCCGCAGACCCGATTCATCATATCCCGTGTTCTCTGCTGCCATGGCCAGGCATAGATATGAAAGTATAATGTGTTTTATGCATTTCAAAGACAATACACTCTGTCATCCTCGGGGTGACCCTGAATTTGATTGGCTGCACAAAATTCAGCCCCTCGTAAATCACCTTAACCAAAAATTTTCAGATGTCTATACTCCCCAGCAAAACATCTGCATTGATGAGTCCCTGATTCATTTTTCTGGCCACCTTGCATTCAAACAATTTCTCCCCAGCAAGCATGCCAGATACGGGGTCAAGATGTAGAAGACCTGTGAGAGGACAACAGGCTATACTTATACGTTTTGGATTTATGAGGGAAAAGATAGTCATGTGGAGCCCCCCGGATGCCCAGACTACAGTTGCAAGAAAAAGTATGTGAACCCCTTGGGATTACGTGGAGTTTTGCATGAATTGGGCAGAAAATGTGCTCTGAACGTCATTTAAGTAACAACAATAGAAGAACACTGTCTGCTGAACATAATACTACACAAACATTAGATGTTGCCATGGTTTAATTGCACATAACATGTAAACATTCACAGTGCAGGGAGGAAAAAGTATGTGAGGCCCTAGCTTAATGACTTCTCCCAGAGCTAATTGGAGCCAGGAGTGAGCCAGCCTTGACTCCAATCAGTGTGATGATATTGGATGTGTTGCTGACAGCTGTCCTGCCCTTAAAAAACACACACCTGTTTTGGGTTTACTGGTTTCAAGAAGCACTGTCTGATGTGAACCATGCCTCGCAGAAAAGAGCTCTCAGAAGACCTACGATCAAGAATTGTTGACTTGCATGAAGCTGGAAAAGGTTACAAAAGTATCTCCAAAAGCCTTGATGTTCATGTGTCCACGGTAAGACAGACTGTCTACAAATGGAGAAAGTTTAGCACTGTTGCTACTCTCCCTAGGCATGGTTGTCCTGTAAAAATGACTGCAAGAGCATAG